TTAAGACAATCAATGTCAACTATCCTGGAGATCAATGGCTTCAAGTCTTCACTGATGGGTCATACATAGAAAACCGAGCAAACGTTGGTGCAGGTGTCTATTCTGAACTCTTCTCTTTCTACGCAGCAGCGGGACATAATAGATCCACTTTTGAAGGAGAAATAGAGGCTATTAGGATAGCACTATGCCAATTATGTTGCCTGGATACGAAATTCACCAAAGCGGTGATGCTTTCGGACTCACAGTCAACAATAAGCTCAATTGGAAACAGAGACACCCAAAACAGCTGAGATAAAGGAATGTAGAAAACTCTATCAGCTGCTGAGAGGGACAACGATTTTGCAATGCATGGACCGGCCGATGTCTTTCCACACAATGAAGGCCTTAATCAGGAGAGAACTCCATACCTCAGGGTACAACGAAATTAAAGCTCGAACAAAGGAGAAACAGTGGACAGTGGCACTCTCCGACATACCCGACTGGCCAAGAATCGAAGCCTTTGCTGAGTTTAGACTACGTACCGGACACGATTGCTTGGCAAAACACCTTCACAGATTGGGAGTATGCACTCAACCCACATGCCCTCTATGTAACCTACAGGAGGAAATGGAGGAGACCCACCTGATTCGGTGTCCAGCCCTAAAGACAAGGACGGAAAGTCAGAGATACTGGGAAGCAAGAAGACAGCTAATGAATTGCTATTAATTAACAGCTATAAATGTACCCCCCCCCTCTTGGGGAAGCTGAAGTCAAAGATTAAGGGCTAATGATAAATATCATAAAGCCTGCCATTTGAAATAATAATAATAATAATGTTTCTTCCCTCTGTGAAGCCCGAAGTCAACCCGAAGTCTAATGATAACTACCAAAACGCCTTTTAATTGACATAAATAAATACCTTCAGTTTTTTCATGAGTCTTTGCCATTATTTGGGGATTTCAGTTTTTTCCCAGAGATGAAAATTACAAATTTATGATTTTGGTTTGCTATCATTATTATTATTATTACAATTAGACAGATGCATCCTTAGTAATTTTTCATATAATTAGAATTCGGAAATTAAATGCTTAGAACGTTCCAGTAGGCACGAGCTCAAAAAACGAAATTATGCGATGTGGGTACACGTTTTTATAACCTAATATTAATTTTTGTATATGCATACACCTATATTTTTTACTATATTTGGTAGTAGGTGAAATAGTCAAAGTTGTGCCTTGAACAGAGCAAACGCAAACTGACGTAAGTGGAAAAAGGTGATCATCAAAATACTTTTATTGAAACAAGGAAGGAGAGCATAGCAAACCCCCCATTTTGGTATTTAGTGCATTGATCCATTACAAAAATGCGTAATTGAGCAATACTGGAAGCGAAGTCACACTTCCATTCGATCTTGAAAAAACTGACTTCTCCTTATTTGATAATAAATGTTCCTCAATTGAAAAAGATTTGTTAGTATTAGTGACTTAAGCCATATGCGCTTTCTATATTGCATAATCAATGGTAATTTGCAAACACCCTACCTATTAATTTTTTTAATAATCGTTCCATAAAATTGAATTGACCACCAGTTCACGTCTTGAAAGTTGTTAAACAATTTCGTAAAAAAACACAACTGCCCACAACAAGACCTAGCGGACTATTGATAAAGACAAAAATCGCGGTCTATCAAATTACGAGAATTCAGGGAAATGACCACAATGAGTAACGATGTTGAATTTTCATAGAGTCGCCGATGAAGTTATTTGCTCATTAATAACCTGTTCACAGGGCACACATGATTGGTAATCGGAATGCAAAATTGTTTACAAAATAGTTCCTTGATTCAAGGCATTAGTAAAATCATTTGATTGAGGAATCGATTAAATAAAATTTCAAATGACTTAACTGTTTCGGAAAAAACAAGTTTAATAATTCCAAATCTGGAAAGCAAATATATAGATTGAACTTTTCCAAAGCTTTTATTGGGAGGTATATCAAATCAGTTTACGGGCTGTTCAATTTGGAAATTGATCGGTTTATATTCAACCATCTTTTTCTCCATCCTTAACTCAAGAAATCCCAATTTCATGCAACACTAATGTATTGAAAGCATTTTGCTGGTTCGGATTAAAAATTTGCCAGTAGCTCCACTCCCTGGTAATCCTCAAATTTAAATCAATCATTTTATTAGACTCATTGGCTGAAATAGATTTGGATCACTTTATTGTTAATACATTCTGTTGTTAAAGATAACCAAAATAAAGAAGGTATCCTCACTCGCTATACCTAATATACTTGTCTTACTGTTAATCTGTCCACCAACATTCAGTAAACTGGAGGTGCCAATTTTAGCGACTACTGGATGTGTCAATGGTCAATCGGGTATATAGCTCAATATTTTGAAGATTCCAATCTTTTATCCTGACAACCTCAAGCAAGACTTTATTCATCCTGAACTAATACTTGAAAATAATATTTTATCTGATGCTTCAACTACTGATCCTTAATCCCTAAGATATAATATCAGGAACATAAAATAACAGGGTGGGGTGTGCGATAGACTTACCTCCACGTGGTGAACCCTGAGCAACGTATACTCATACGGCAAAAGAGTCTATTAACCGGCAGTTGACTTCTAACTACCATGCCCCCACTGTATGTCATATTCGACTACTTTCACAGCACTCACCTCACCTTTCATCTACCTTTGTGTCTGTCTCTTTTGCATCTTTAAAACACTCTTCTGTACCCCCCCCCCCCACTCTCGACATTTTTTTTCGATTTGATGTTCCTTTCCCTCTGTTAAGCCTGAAGTCAACTAAAGGGCTAATGATAACTATCATAAAGCCTGCCAATTGATATAAATAAATTACAAGGTAAATTCATATTTCAAAATGCAATTCAAAGTCAACTATAGATAAATTGAAGTAGCATATGAAAAAATTTTTAAACTGGGAGTCGGTTGTACATAATTTGCTTGTTTATTCAAAATGACATAAAAAGGAGATTTTAGTAAAGTAGAGGTTTATATTGTTGATCTCACATCCTTTTTCAAGTCCTGTTAAATGTCAATAAGTTCACATTTTACTTAGACTTTTGATTACTATTGAAGTCTTTTACAGGCAGAGGACTACGTTCTTCCTCTAAACTCTCCTCCTTTGAACGCTCGTACAAATTCCTTGACGGTCTGTCCAGAAAAGACGGTCGCCCTACTAGTTTTTCGTCAGAGACTCTGTGAAAATTCAAGAAAAGCAATTCTTAATAAAACTACTAACAATTCAAGGTAACTACAGCAAAATCCAAGCACATCACACTATTAGCTACCAATGATTATGAGTAACATTGGCAATCAGGCACAACTTCTCCCTTATGTATTTACTGATAAGGCATCCACTACCCAATAAGAGGGGTTGTCATCTCATCTTCTTTAGGAGGTAAAGTAGGAGCTTCGCATGGTGACTTTTCTTCCTTATTCTTCGAAGAACGGACAGACTTGGCAGTTTTATCCCAAAGAAGTGATGCGTATCGGATTGCCCCCTCGTAAGATTTTCGAACAGGATTAGGTGGGGGGATATCATGCACCATAGAGTACTCATCCTCTTCTGAAAGGAATTGAACTTCATGGACTTGTGAATAGTTCACACCGTAGATGTCATTGCTAATGGCTAATGCATCTTGTGGCGCACTGGGACCGTTGACAGACATCATTGGCTCCTCACGATGGGGAACAAAGATGGTTGGTCTTGGGCTTTTTGGCTGTCTGCAAAAGCGAAGAAAAATACACACACACTCACACGCATATATTCATATATATACCAAAAAATATGTAAAAATACCAGCCACACTGCATATTCTTAATACAAGAGGAACGTGGTGTTAGAAGGGTTTTTAAGTGTTCTAAATGCCACTTAATCCACAAAAGTCTCTAAAGAAGAGTCTCATTTCGTCGGTACCTAGAAATTCCATTATTTTCTCGAACAAGTTTGGTTGAACCTTACCAGAATTTGTACGTCTATGTTTCACATCAGATTCAAATTGCATATTGTTACACTGAATGAAATTTGACCTCATATATATATATATATATATATATATAAGCCTGAAGTCAACTAAAGGGCTAATGATGACCATCATAACGCCTGACATTTGATATAATAATAATAATTTCATGGTAGTCTTCTACGAAGTCTAAGTTGTAGAAGAGACCAGGTCTGTGCGAAATTCGCAGTGCATGGTCAAAGTTAAATGAGAAAGTTACTTTGAATTGAAGTCTTATAATTTCTTTAGCAATATTTCAAAAATGTTCCCTTGTTCTGCTTCTAGCGTGGTATATTTCCGACGAATAGGCATTTTCTGCTTGAAATAATCCAGTAACTTCATATTTCCAATAAAACCCCATATTAATTCACACAACAATGGTAATATTTCAGCGTTTGATAATATTTCTTTAAACTTTATTTCACAAAACAAATAAGAACAAGTTGTTAACATTAAAAACGGTATATATTGAAAAATCATATTTAATAAAATAGACTATATCATGATCCATAGTGGTAACAACTGTGGGACACGTTATAGTTGTGTGCGTCATCGTATGCCTGCATGTCTGCTCGCCAGGATTGGGAGGTGCGGCCGTACAACTCCGTGTGCAGCGACCGTACAAACAGTTACCAATCATTACTCTCTGTTTAACCTAATCCCCCATCCTGATCATGAGTAGCTCCTTGCGTGTACACTTGATCCGCAATATACGTCCTGAATAAACGTGCTCCGTGCTACACGTATGCTCCCTTTATAGGTGGGCTATAGCTTAGCTGATTCTGGGAGTCTAGCTTGATGTAGGAGGATCTGCCATAGAGATTTCTGAGTCAGTCAGGCCTTAATAAAGTAGCAATCCCCTACACAACCAACCATTTTTTCCCTCCTTTCTTAATAACCAAGTAGCATGATACAAAGCGAAATAATAACTAGAGTTAATAAATGTAGCCAAATAGTTTCA